TTTTATTGACAGAAGAACTCAAAGAAGTTCTTCGACTCTACTAATGGATGACCATTTAAGAGATAGGTGAAGGGGTGGTTGGCGAGAGAATCATCAGGAAAAGGCTCCCATCGAAGGTTGAGAAAGTAGGCCGTCATCCACAATTTTAAGAACTAGACGGGCCTACTGAAGTTGTTGAAAGGTTTCTTGATTAGTGACTCCCTCATGCCGTCATAGAGATGGCATAGAAACATAGTCCCTAGGGCTATCTAATTGCCACAGAGTAGGGACTGGGTGATCTGGAGATACAGCTGTACAGGCTTTCCTCCCCCCAGGGCTATGATCCATTAGTTGAGTAGGATCCAGATGAAAATCAGGTGCTCTATGGCAATGACGGGCTCGAAGGCTGGTTTCTCGGAGAACAGCTCCATAATCTTTGTATAGGAGCCTGCGGCCCTAATCTTACCATTCAAGTCAGCAGGCAGGGCGGTGTAGGAGTCATGCTTTTTAGGGATAGCATAAAAGTTCTCTTCCCTAGTGATAGGTGGCCCCAAGAATATGAAAATGTCTCATAGCGTGAAGGACATCGGGTTGAGCTCGAAGATGAAAGCATTACAGCCTGGAGCCCAAAAACTGAGTAGGGTTATTAAAAGGTCCATGGGGATGTCAACGTCAGCCAAAGATAGTTGAATTAGGTCATACAGACCCATCTCCTTCCACTGGGGTACACAATCAACCTTCAAATACTTCACCTAGTTGACCTAAGCAAGAGGGGACCAGGGCCAGTTCTTGAGCTTTTTGTAGGACGACTCGAGGAAGGGCATGTCGTCATGGCCAAGACCAGGTTGCGAAGAGTGGTCAATGGTCATGGGTTCGGTTGCGTAGGAGCATTGACATCAGACAAGTAAAGAGAAATCGTCAAATATTCGACGTCGCTTCTGTTGGAGATTTGGAAACTCCAAGGCGAAGTGCTGAAAAAAGGAAGCATAATTAGAGTAATTTTCAATAAAATAGAATGGCTAAACACTAGAGGTAAGAAACTTACCAGGAGGCCACTAATTCATGAAATGACAAACTTTCCTAAAAAGAAATGAACGAGAATTAGGATAGGAAATTGGGCTAATATAAAAAGGGGTTTTTTCAGACCACGAAATACATACCGTTATGAGCCCACCTAACTAGTTCACTGGGTTATGAATAGTTGTCAGAGAATCTAGCAAACTGCCCGTGGAAGTAGAGGAAGGGGTGGCGGTAGAAAAAAGCGAACGAAGTTATTTAAAGGTTAGGGTAGAAATAAACTTTAGTAGATTGAAGACTTGAAGTTCAAGAAACAGCAAAGAGAGCAAGAGAAGTGACTAGAACCTAAAAACAAGTTTATATTGGCAGAGGGCACTCAGAAATGAAGTAACGTTTCAATTTTTTCAAACATGTCATGTGGCTTATGTTACCAGCCATTGGCACGCGGGGGCATTATTTGGGCTAAATATAAAATGTCACTCAAATAGGTCACGAGGCTAGTTGGGCTGAGTAATTGAAATGTTAGGCCCAATGTAAACAAAAGAAGCCGGTCCCGAAGCTCAATGAAGTCCACAACACATAAGCATGCCGAAATCCTATCAGCTTCAAATATCAAACCGTTGGCACGAAGACACAATCTTAAATGATGCTGAAATCTACGCCCAAGTAGTTCGGTGAAACGGGCTGATGAAGAGACCGTGCCATAAGTTTCACGGGATTCCTGAATTTTCGGTAGAATGTGTTAAGTCTCAAAGAAAAGGCTTCTACTATCAGACACTATAAATATGAAGAAGGAAAAAACAAATAAGATGGTCAACATTTGATCAAGACTCGCATGATTTACATTTACTTGCCCTTTTCAATTCTTAATTTTTTTAGTCTATAATTTTTTAACACTTCAATAAAATTACATACTTGTTCTATCAAAGCCTACTATCTTGTTACATCCAAGTAAACTATGGTAAAGAAATTCGGGACCCTTTCGTTATCTATTTGAGACCCAGCGTTTCTGGCACGCCTGATATTTATTGTTCAACTGTGAACAGATTTGTATTTATTCTATGTAAATTTCTAAGTGTATCATGCAAAATAAAATTAGCTTGTTTTCTTTAAGAATTTGTTAGTCAATGCATCATGAGAAAAATAAAACATGTGTCATAATGAATCACACACTATAATTTATGTCATAATAATATTTATAAATCATAATTATATCCAAAAGTAAAAATAAATATGAATAATGATTTTAAATTAAGCAAGTATAATAACAAATATTATGGTACTATTTAATAATCATATATGTGTCTATAATAATAAAAACAATGGTTAAGAAAAGTTTATGATCAGGAGATGTGCAATGAAAAATAAATTCATCAACCTCATAGGTTTAAATTTGAAGTACATGATTGCAATGGTTTCAATAGATTTTCAAGTTGTGGTATAGTTGTATGTATTAATAAGAAATTTGTTACCTCATACATATTAAGAACATCTACAATAATTTATTTTATTTGCATATACTATTTTTTAATTTTTTACTCTCGCGTATATGAAAAATATAATAAAAAATTTGTTGTATATCCTATGATATGTTAATCTCACATAAATTAAAATTTAAATAACAACATGTTTTACTTTATATTTTGTTATTTTAAGATAAAATTATATTTCTCTCTCTCCATAATATTTTACTTTTGGCCATGTACCGCATTGCATGCAAAACGTGCTTCAACATATGACACAAAAAGCCTAGCTTCATGTTTGTGACTCGTGTCATAGCATATAATGCACAAGTCACAACATATAATATAGAGTCACATTTTCTTTTTTTTCTCCTCTTTTGAGGTATAAGTGTGTTGAATCTGTTTCAAGCCCAATTTTAAGATTGCAACTATAACCCAACAAGTCCATTAATCCTCTCTAATTACACAACACATTAACTTATTTAATTATCTTCTATTAGTTTGATTAAACAGGAGGTTAATTTTTATGATGTCACAATTTGAAAGGGATCATCATATTTCACAGGACCAAATTCTTATTTCTTTATTTTAGAAAGATTTATTTTCCATTGTCCTAAAAATTATTATTACTATTCTTATAGTTAATTTTTAATCAAAACCAACATGTTTGAATCATTTTTAATTTTTCATATAATCGCTCTCTATGATATAAATACTAAAAATATTTTTAAAAATTAATGTTATTAATTTTTTATAAAGTGTCTCGTGTATTTTATTAACACTAATATATAAAATGTTTTAATATACTTCTCTAGTTTTATTTATAAGGTAGAGAAAAAGTATTTGTTTTGCAATGTTTTATAGGAAATTTCAATTATTATTGTGTCAACCTTCATTTTTTTGTCCTTCTTAAATGTTGGGAGGTTCTTAAATGCTAGAATATTTTATTTTTAAAATAGGTATATTTAATAGAAGTAAAGCCATAAACTTGTTAAATTTTTAGATAGAGATAATGAAATTTAATGTTTTCAATGATTTCAATGAAACATGTTAGAAATTATTTATAAATAAGATAATGTGTTTCTTTATTGAGAAGAAGGAATAGATTTTAGAGTCAAATTAATTAATCAACTACTTACTTGAGTTTTATTTACATGATAGAAAGAGAATATTTTTTATTTTATTTATAAGTCGTGTCATTAAATTTTTATCACAAATTATCACTTTTTCATTTTTTAAATGTTAAATAGAAAAAATATATTATTAAATTATATATATATAATAGGAATAAATTTGATAATTCTTTAAATTTTTAAATAAAGTTAATGAGTAATAAAAATTTGTTTAATTGGTGAAATATATTAAAAATAATTTACAAATAAATCAAAGATAATAATGCACTTTAAAAAAACTGGTCAAAATATTATGTCAATCAGTATTAAGAAGACAATCATTGAAATATGTTTAGATATTTCACATAAAAAAATGTTTAGACAAGTATGAGAAAAGAGAGGGGAAATTTTTATTGAAAACAACCCTAGAAAATAAGAAATAACATATTTTCAATCATAAAGTATCACTTTTATCTAGACATTAAAAAAATATTATTAAAAAGTATATATATATATATTAATGAAAATGAAGTTGATAATTATTTAAATTTTAAACAAAGTTAATAAATTATAATATTTTTTTAATTAATAAAATATATTAAAAATAATTTATAAATAAATCAATGACAATAAACTGGTCAAAAGTAATAGCCATTGCCTTGAATCTTGTACCGTGAGCCCTCTTATACTTAGACATTGATGAGCTCAGCTGACATTGTCTTAGAATTGAGAATAAAAATCGGGCTTAATGAGCCATCCGTTTAAGCCCATTTTAATAAGGATTTGGATTTAAAAAATTGATATTTTTTAAGATAACTGAGTTTTGAAGTCCAGTCCTTTTAAACCCTAAAAAAAGGACTCGAGCCCGGGCTGCCTACTTAACTTTTTTTTTTTCACTTCTACGTTAGACTTTGGGAAATGGTCAAATTGAGGCTGAACTTTCAACTTTTAAAGAAATCCTACGCAGCACACTAGTACTCAATCTCTCATTCTCAGACCTATGACAGAGTTAAAAATAACATTTTATTTGTAGATGATGATGAGGGAGATCTTGATTAGCATTGATAATGACTTTTATCTTTATCTTATTTGAACTTTTAAATCTTGAATTTATTTTTTAAATAATGTGAGACTTTTGTTTGATGTATCTTGAATTTTAAAATACTCTAAGTAAATTAAAATGTTAAATTTTATTTTATTTTTTTCCATAAACGGGCTTATGAGCTCAATCCTGAATCCTTTAAATAAAAGTCAGACCTCAACTTTTAAATAAAATTGAAATAATTGAGTTTTTAAATTTAAACCCATAAAGATTGAGTTCATATAAATAAGGCCTGACCCTACAATGTCCTTGAGAGGCTGATGCACCGTCACAACAGAGAAAAAAAAAAAAAAAATCAACAGCAGCAACAAAAATGAGAAAAGAAAGTCAAAATCCAGAGGACGCTTCCTGCTCACGCAGTGTCTGTCTCCCTTAGATAAGCCCAGGCCACGCCGACTTGCTCAGGTCTCTTGATCTCAAGCCTCACCCTCATCCATCTCCACCTCGTATCTTTCTCCTTGCTTTGGTCTAGTTAATATCATTCCTCTCAATCGTATTTTTTTTGGGCCACGTTTTCAAGCCACCCCGGCCTTCGTCGTTGGCCGGCATTGATAATCCTCGCTGTCGCCCTCAGATATCGCTGTCAGGTAGATACCGGAACCCACCTTCTTTCCTAAGTCGCTGTTGGGCTTCTTCTGCATGTTCTATCGTTTGCTTTTCTATGTGAGCGAGTTCTTGTGAAAGGAAAATGAATCTTTGAGGCTGTTTACTGAAATACTCCTCTGTTTCGTTGAAATCTGTGTAATGTTAATTTTCTGTTACTTTGTTGATTAAATTAAATTATGCCTAAAGCTATCCTATATTGCTTCTTCCGAAAACAAAAGATTTACCCTCACCATTCTGAATCAAAATACATATCTGTTGTTGGAAGGAGACCTTAATAAAACTACATTGCTTCAGGGAGTAAAAGCAGAATTTTGCCCTCTCTGTTTTTTACCTTTTTAAACAAGCAAGGGATTCACTTCTTGCCGAATTCGAAATTTTCTTAGTCCGGGTGGGCTGATGTTGATTTTTCAAGCTTAAAAGTTTCGGATTTTCCCTCTCTTTCTTTTTTCCATTTTCATTACAATCATGGCAAAAAAAAAAAAAGGAATTTTCGCTTTACAATAATATTTTCTAACGTTTTCTTTTATCTTGCTAGCCTTTACTCATTCACTACAATGATGGAGGGAAAGAATATGTAGTCAGAAACAATTTCCCCCACTCATAACATGTTGTACAGAATACTTAATAAAATAAAAACAGTTTTAAACAGGCCCTTAAGCTTTGTAGATTTTGGTTTCAAAATTTTAAAATACTTTTTTGGACCAAAACTCAAAAGCAAACCTAATAATAATTTGAGTCTGTGGTAGGCGTTTATTCTAGATGGTGGGAATAATGTTTGATTGTCATTTTGGCGATGAGGATAATGATCCTCCCACATGTCAAGTGTTTGAACCCACATTAGGAGATAATGTTGAGGAATCAACTCCAAAAGTTGATATCAAATCAAGATTCAAACATTGTTATTGAGGATGATTATTGGAGTTTAAATGATGAAGATTTAAATACAATCTTTGAATTTTGAATTGTGTGAATTTATGACCTTTGGCCGTGGTCTTTGTGTAATTATTTTAGTTTATATGGCATGCTGCAATTTCATATTTCAAAAGCACATAAAAAAATGGTGACTATCACCAATAGGAGTTGGGTTTAGCGAAAGGGGCTAGTTTCTCGTGACATGGTAAACCAAAGTTCAAATCTCCACTAGAAGGGTGTTAGCTCGCAAGGCACATTAGAGATGCGAGGTCTCAAAAGGATGGAAGAACCTGACTTCTAATCAAATACAGGGAACTCGGGCTCCTTTACAATAGTTCACCTGGATGTGAGAATGCAAAGTAAAAAAAATTAATGTAGATGCAGAAAAGTAGAAATATATTAATTAAAGAAAGAGATGGTGGGCTATGCTGATTGTACAATAGAAAAATAAATACTAGAATTACATGATTAAAGGAAAAATAAAATAAAGCAGCAGGCGCGGAGTTTGAGACTGATAGTTTGTTGATACTGATGATTCTTGTTGAAAGAGGGCTCCTTTATTTATAGATGATCCTGACTTGGTGTTTAAATCCCATGATCGCTATTTTCCTTGAATTTAGAAACCACCTCCTTCATCGTGGTTGGAGTATAGATGGTCTTGACTTAGTGGCTAAGGTTTCATAAATATTTTCTTTTAATTATTTTAAAGCTAATTAAGTTGAGCTAAGTCTGGGCCTTCAAATTTATAATTTGGGTGCAAATAATGTCCTCTTCATACAAATTGGCTGGAGCCTTTGTGAGCTAATTTTGTATGAATATTTTCATTGACCCCACTTCCAAACATTGTGTGAGTCTTATGTCTTGGAGGACTAGCCCGTTCTCGTTCTGATTGATGGTTGAACTGGTACTTTATTTGATGGACACTCTTTCGGTTAAAGATTAGGGACCATGTGGTCTCGCTTAGGATTAAGTTTCTCAAGGTTTGGGATCTCAAGAGCTGATTTTGGAGTTGGCCCTTTAAGTTTTTGGACTTTAAGGATTGGTTTTGTAAAATCTAGTTGTGGGGCTTGACTTTCACCCTTGTGGAGAGAGCCCTTTGGGAGAGAGCTCTTGTGGAAAGGGTCCTTGCAAAACTCATCTTTTTAATTTTGGTCCTCGTGGCTTTGGCCCTTGTGGCGTTGGCCCTTATTACTGCAGCCTCTGTGACTTTGGCTCTTATGGTTTTAGCCCTTGTGGCTCCGGCCCTTCTAATGCTGGCCCTAGTGGCTTTGGCCTTTGTGGCCGAACGAGCTTGCTATTAAATTAAACCCGTCATTTATCCTTTGAGAGATGTTATAGTAGTTCTCGTTGTTGATCTTCTAGTCGAAGGGCATATTAGGAGACTGCCCCTCGAGTCCATCTATTCTCTGAAGGTGTAAGCCAATTAGAGCTTGCTCTTGCTATGGTCCAGATAGCATAGTAGAGATGTTCCTTAGCTCATCCTTCAGAGTTTGCAACAGAGCTCTTTGTCTCTCATTAGCTTGTACTTTATGTTCTGAGTGTGCAGCCATGTTCTTTAAGTTATAAGATTTAGGTCTATTCTTTCTAACAATGTATTGATCCTTATGTGTCCTAGGTATTCCATTCACATGGGTCCCACTAGGTGCGTCAAAAATTGCTAGGCAAAAATAAAAGGATGGTGTTGTGAGGCGTGCTAGAGATGCGGGATCTCAAAAAAATAGAAAAACTTGATTTCTAATCAAATGCAGAGAACCCAGGCTTTCTTACCATAGTTCCCTTGGATGTGAGAATGCAAAGTAAAAAAAAGTAATATAGCTGTAGAAAAACAGATATACATTAATTAAAGAAAGAGATGGTGCGCTATGCCGGCCATATAATAGAAAAGTAAATACTAAAATTGCATGATAAAAGAAAAAATAAAATAAAACAATAGACACGAAGTCTGAGACCGGTAGTTTGTTGATGTTAATGATCCTTGTTGAGAGAGGGCTTCTCTATCTATAGATGATCCTGACTTGGTGCCTAAGCCTCATGATTGTCAGTTTTCTTAAATTTAGGAACCACTTCGTCCATCGTGGTTAGAGTGTAGATGGTCTTGATTTAGTGGCTAAGGCTTCATAAATATTTTCTTCTAATTATTTTAAAGCTAATTAAGTTAAATTGAACCTGGGCCTCCAAATTCACAATTTGGGTGCAAACAAAAGGGTGCCCACATTTAATACTCAATCATGCCTTGAATAGGATTGCTTCCAATAAGAGGATATTTATGAGCAACTGAAAAAAAAAAAAAAAACAGTGACTGTCAAGGGAAGCATTTGAATGTGAGCTCATCAATAGAATGAACTACCTGCCTGTCTCGTATTATGAAAGCCCATGACTGCCGGCTTGTATTCCCACTAGCGTCTCTCCTCCTTGTCTATATGAATTTATTCCTTCATTTCAAGCTTCTTGGTTTGTCAACTTCTGCATTGCTATTTCCTCCTGTGATTCTTGGGCGCAAAACTTGGGGACATGATATTGCTAGTTAGTTGCCATAACTTTTGGGTTTTCATCATTTGCTGAATAATTTAAAACTGAGTGCTCAAAGTATCATTCCTTTTCTTTTGGATCCAAAAGTTTCAAGATTTCAGGATTTTGACTTGCTGGTTCTTCTAAAAATTTCACTGTTTTGTGCTCTTTATCCGTTACATCATTAAATTGGGCTAATTGAGTTATGGTTATATTTCTTTTATTAATGTCCAAGGGGATTCAAACAACAGAACTTTTGTTCTGATCGTTGAGAACAACTTAACCTTTTCATAAAACTAATCAAGAAGACTTATGCAATGTAATTGTATTGACCTTTCTGGTCAAATATTTTCTTATCAGTATCACTTCACTTTGTCTTACTACAGGCCTTTCTGGGTAGGAAACATGGAGCCAAAGTGTGGGATCAAGAAAGATGTCACTGAAGTAATATTTCTTCATTATTGTCCTGATATGATTGCTGTTTTCCGGTCTTTCAGTTATATTCTTTACTTTTCTTCTTTTGCAGTTAATAGGCAACACCCCTATGGTTTATTTGAATAAAATTGTGGATGGGTGTGTGGCTCGTATTGCTGCTAAACTAGAGTCCATGGAGCCCTGCTCTAGTGTCAAAGATAGGTACAGATTTCCTTTCTTTGGCTATACAGAACTCTCTCGGTCTATTAGGATTTTTACTTAAAATAGGATATCTTCTTTATCATATTCAGGACAGCTTTTAGCATGATCAAATATGCTGAGGATAAAGGCAAAATTACACCTGGAAAGGTTAGTCACGGAAAGTTTAGATATACATAGATTCTTTATGCAGCCTCAAGCTTGTAGTTCTGCATGTACGCACTTTCTTGTAAGATCTATTTTTCCTTTTTCTTTTCCAATAATAGTATTCAATCCCAATTATGTTCATCAACTCTAGCCGTGTTTCTAGGCCCAGGCTTGTTTAACCTGATGTAATTGCTTTTGCAATGTAACCCTTTTCGCTACCAAAAAAAAGAAAAACAACTCCTCTGGCTGTCTCTTTCTTTCTAGAAGCTTTCATGATGGCAAACATGCATGTTTCGTTCTGATGTGCCATTATTGTTGTTGATACACGTTTCAAGGCAATTTTCTTACGTAATATGTCGTTATTTTGCATGGCGCTTGTGTGTTGTGTCCTTATGTATGCTTCAAACAACTTTCATGCACATTGATATGTTTACTAATGGTGGCCAAAGACTGTTCTTGTGGAGCCTACAAGTGGTAACACTGGCGTAGGAATGGCATTCGTAGCAGCATTGAAGGGCTATAAGGTTATAGTGGTCATGCCAGCTTCTGTAAGTCTTGAGAGAAAAATTGTACTTAGAGCATTTGGAGCTGAGGTATATCTGACTGACCCTGCCAAAGGAATGCCTGGGTGTCTTGAGAAAACAAACGAGCTATTAAGCAAGATACCTAATAGTTATATGCTTCAGCAATTTGAAAATCCTGCCAATCCACAGGTCTTACCTACATCAGTCTTAATTTTAATGCCAGGTTTAGAAGGTTTAAATGCTAGGTTGAGAAGACTTACATTCTATTTCTTTCATTTTTTTTTTCATAGATCCATTATGAGACGACGGGGCCTGAGATTTGGAGAGATTCAGGAGGAAAAGTTGATGTCTTGGTTGCAGGGATAGGAACTGGGGGGACGATAACTGGTGCTGGGAAGTTCCTCAAGGAAAGAAACCCAGATATTAAGGTTTTGTCTTTAGTTGCGTGTTTTCTAGGCCGAACAAGAGATTGAAGGGCTTTTTATGCTAATTTCATGGTTCATCCTGTATTTTCCCTCCAGGTGTATGGTGTAGAACCGGCTGAAACTGCAGTCCTGCGTGGAGGACAACCAGGTGATTTCATCAGTCTTTGTGTATGTGACTGAGGGCTCGTTTGGATTTTAGAATTTCAGTCGGGTGTAATTAATTTTAAAAATAATTTATTAACATGGTTGATTTTAATTATAATTAATTATGATATAACGCAATCTATTTAGATATATTTTGTAAAATTAATTTTAACATAATTAAAGATGTTAGGATGATTTAATCAAAATTAATTTTAACTATACAAATTACTATATAATTCGTTATTTTTTAAAATTAAATTCTTGATAAGTTTTATATAATATTATTAAATTTGTTAAGCTTTATTTAAGAAATAAAACATATTATTTACATTATATATCTGGTTAATTATGGAAATTTAAATTATATTAATATTAGTAATTTAATTTATATAAATAAATAACTTAATATATTTAAGTTTCAATAGCTTTAATAAAAGAAAAGGATATAATTTTTAAATACAAATTTTAATTTTACAGTAATTAATAAAGAGGATAATATATAAGAGATAAAAGAGAAAGATATAATTTTAAAACATTATTTATAGACTAAAATACATATATACATACCAGAAGCAATGATTATTTCCCAAGATGATCGACGCTGAACTTACTGAGCGATTTTTCTATTTAGAGAAACCAACCCAGTTGAAGGGGGAAAAAACGTACTTTCATACCTTCATATAAATATATGAATATATATATAACTTCCTTCAGCTATTATTTATTGCATGTGATTTTAACATTTTGGGTATGAATTTAATTTAATGTATTATATTTGACGCGCCCACAACCCGAGCTGTGCCGAAATCCCACCACGAGCAAGAATGAAGGACGCTGCTCTGCCAAAGCACCAGAAGCTGTCACCTCACCGGTGAGAGACGACACTTCACCCACATAGCGTTCTGTCACGAGACCTCCGCTCGAGTAGTTTCTTGATCGACTGGAGACGACGGTTTTTCTTTACTCTGTTTTTTGTCCTCAAAACAGAGGCTAAAAAAAACCACATGAAACCTATATGCTTGGCCAATTCCTTCTTCCGAGACTCATTCTCTGTTCTCTGTCCATCATACCATCACCTGACCATTACTCGGATTGCCTTCATTCCAACGTCCATCGTAGCTCGGAGATGGAGATAGCGAGAGAGGGGAGACCAAAAAGAAGTCCGAATATTGGCCAAAAAAGAAAACAAGTCTGAATACGTATCAGGAGAGGGTAATATTGGCAGGTGGAATTATGATAAATTACTCATTATTCTAACGGTAAAATGAATTCTGTGAAAGCTGGCAGCGGTAGCTTAACATAAAACGCGGTTCAAACCTCATTAATCGATTACCTGATATATGGGCTGTTTGGGTAATTTTTTTTCCATTAATCAATTTCCCTCCAAAAAATCGATTATGAAGGCAAACCAAACAGGCACTGAATCTTTCTCGTTGTTTTGCTGAACAAGAATTAAGTAGTTGGAATCCATGAAAGTCTTCCTGTCTTGGACTTTATGTTCTGTCAAAAATGATTTAGAACAGAACAACCCATGGAGATCAATTAGCATAGGAAGACGTCTGGAAGATTTTGCCCACCTGTGAAATTCTCTTGAATTTTGAATTGATATGTATATATTGAAAGCTTTAATCTAGATTTATTATCCGCTGAACTACAAACTTCATTTCCTAATTTAGCACTTATGTGATGTAGGTAGTATAATTGTTTGTTTAGAATGTCTACTTTCAACTCGAGGAAAACATTATACAAGTGTCAGAATGTATACTGATGGCTTTGTTACTTCCATGTGTCAAAGGCAAGCATTTAATCCAAGGAATTGGCCCTGATTTCATTCCAAATGTGCTGGACCTTAATCTGCTTGATGAAATTATTCAGGTAGCTTTCAAAAATTAGTATGTGGAATTTAATCCTGATCCATTGAATGTGCGTAGTGTATTAATTGACAGTGGAGCACAGCATACGTAAGTCCATGCTGTGTATTACATAAATACATATATGTATACATGTGTTATATGGATGTTTATATGTATGTATACGCTCTCTTCAAGCATGTCAATATTTGACAAAATTTTATGTTTCATGTGAGTTTTATGTATCTCATAGAGTTTAAAAAGTGAGTCGCATTAGTCATGGTTCATAAAACATACGGCTTGTTGGAGTTTAGAGATTTTATATTATTTATAAATATACAAGTACGTTCTCTTCTCTGCTATCGGCTAATGCAAGGGCTTGTTGCCTACCGTGGTTCTTTAAATTGCAGATAACAAGTGAGGAAGCCATAGAGACTGCTAAGCTGCTTGCTTTGAAAGAAGGTTTGCTGGTATGGTCCCAAACTTATAATTAAATATATAGGTTTATTTTTTTTATGGAAATGCAGAATGTTTTTGTGTCGAGTCACTTTTTCCTATTGAGATTAAACTATATTTCTAACGGCTTTTCTTATTGCAAGGTCCAATTATTTATTTTTTATTTATTTACTGATATGAATACTGGTTCTGCAGATGGGAATTTCGTCTGGAGCTGCTGCTGCTGCTGCAATAAAGTTAGGGAAGAGACCAGAAAATGCAGGAAAGCTCATTGTTGTAAGTCATCATGCTCTATTAAATTTATTGGACAAATTATAAGATGGCTATCTTCTAGAAATCTACACAAATTAGATAATTCTTTTCACCCTATAGCTACACGCCGCTTTACCTTGAGTACTTATTAATTGGATAATAATATATCCGTGTAGGGGCTTGGTATTTTGCTATCCGTGTATGTTTTCAACAGTGTGGTCAGAATTCTGACTATGGTACTCTGATGGTTAATTTTGAAATGGGAGTCTAATGCAAAATTTGATCCTTGCTTCTCAGGCGGTATTTCCCAGCTTTGGTGAGCGTTACCTCTCAACAGCATTATTTGAATCCATTAGACATGAGGTTGAACAAATGACATTTGAGTAAGCTCTGAAGTCCCAAAAGGCTGCAGCTGTGTGGCTAAATAAAAGGTCGTATCTGGAATTGCAACGATCCAAATGGAATTTAAAATTATGTATGGCAAATAAGTGCAGAGATTGGCTTGCTTATTACTTTTAGAGTTCTTAATACTCCATCCTTAGGGTGCAGGAATGGAGTAGGAATATTTTGATTGATGATATGTATTAATTGTCTTTATTTGCAAAAGAATCATGTATGGAAGGATTTCTGTATTCCTTTGTAACGGTTGTAATTCTCAATCAATATTCTTCACATCTGTTGTCCAAAACACAAACAAGTTGTTTTACAATATGCATGATGTCGTAAACTTTGGTTTTAGCAGTCATTAGAGGGTTAGTTTCTAGAACTTTGCAGGATCAGAGGATCCCAGATAGTTCCTGTGGATTGATTTTCTGTTTGCTGCATAACTGAAGGACAAAAAGAAACCCGATTAAGCAATATATGTGCATTTCGGAAAGATTAGTTTAATTAATTATGAATTTGGTTAAGCCTGGCTGCAGCAGTGACGGACACGGACACGCCGGCGGGATGAATGGCGAGGTTCGGGTTATTTCTCATCTCTGCAACGGTTACCCCTTCCGCATCTTTCCTCGTCGCCACTTTATCTGACGGCAGCTTTGAAGTCGCATCCTGCAGTCAATTTATCAAGTTAAACCTGAGTTAACTCGCCTGTTCGCACGCGGGTGGAATCATCGAAAGGGCAGATATAACTATTTACGTTGAGAATATCTGCGAGTGTGGTCTTGTCTGTGTTGTTTGTGAGGCGGGCATTGAGAGTGGCGGCGGACTGAGCGGCGGCGGCGACACCGCCAGGGACAATGTTGGTACGGCCTGTGGCCCTCACTTCGGCTGCCTGAATTGCGGCGGCGTCACTCCACTCCACAGGCTTGTTACCGGCAGTGACGGCCGTAGCTTCCAGTGCTTCTCCAATAGTAATTCCCCCGCACCCTCCAAGCCCAACTCTAGCATCTTCTTGCGTCCGAGAAGGTGGCGCCACCGTCTGCATCGTTACTTTTTTATCGTAGTGCTCTACCGCCTGTTCCTATTCCCACCATCAAATACCGAAAATCAAAATCACTGCTGTTTTATGCTTACTTATGCCATGTTACCATCTCAATCTCCAATTTTCCATGCATGAATTGTGTCTGTATATTACTTGATTTTAAAATTCGATGATAAATTTGTTTTTTATTTTGTTAGATATTGCATGAAATGCACTAGATATATAATAAATTAATTTTGGAACCTTCATTTAAGCGATTTCACTGAACCGAAATTCTTAGGCGTAGCTTGTACTTCAATTAGCATTTCGCCCCAACACGCTTTTTTATCCCACTTTTTCTTTTTTTTTTATAATTTAACATATATCCTTGTGTCCGGACAAAAGTCCACACATTAACAATGATGACATTCCGAAAAATTTTGCCCCAAGTTTCAGATCTTGATCTGTTTAATTCATTTTAAAACACCGTTAGAATAAAACCGAAGATTAACCGGCAAACATCTCAAACTTGTAGAAAAGATTTAATACCTCGACCAGTTGATGGATTTTCCTTGCGTTTCCTTCTACTCTTTGGATAACCTGATCGAGCAAATGACGTAGTGATCAAGAAAAGTCAAATGCAAAGAAACCAGAAGTCAAATGCAAAGAGACTCCCAGGAGGGACGAAACCTGTCCGCCGAAAGACTCCACGATGACGCGCTTGCCTTCAAGATCAGTCTCGGTTACACTAACACCGAGATCGGCGGCAGAAGCGGTCATATCCTTGTGTCCAACATGGCCCGCCCTCTCGTTCTTCATGGCGGCCGACTGCATGACGGCAGCGGCGCCGCCCCTGAGGGTCTTCCCCAGCATGGCATTCTCCGCCGACTGCATCATAGAAGCATCTTTCGGGGTCACCGGCATGCTTGCCAGCTCCCCTTGAACGTTGAATAAATCGCCGTACTTGATGGGTTCCTCCTGCAGTAGCCTCCGCCGTTGCTCTTGACTCATCTCTCAGTGTTAATTGATGATGCCGATTGGTTTTTCTTCTTCTTCTTTTGTTTTGGTTTTTAAGAAGTATGTAGCTATAGGGAGAGGAGAATTATTATACATGCAGCGGCAGATAATTGATAGAGATAAACACGGTGGAATGTATGAACCTAGACATGCTTAACCACCAATGTAACGTGTTTTATGGCTCGGCCGTTGTTCTCTTTTCACATCTACAGGGAACAAGGACCAGCCGCTAATCCTTTTTTTAAATAACTACAGTAGATGGGACAAAGCTTTATAATCTTGCATAAGTAACACAAAGCTTTGTAAAAAATGCCTGGTTATTGATTTTGCACAAATGTTTTATTGTTAATTAATAAATCGCGTTTTCTCTCTATATTTGTTAATTAATTTAAACGGGATTTTTTTTACAAACAATCCAAATCTTAAGGAGGTAATAGCCTAGAAAGGAAAGCCAAGAGGCAGTTTATTATGATACAGTCAAAAATAACAAACTTACTAATTGGTGGACAGGTTACCTGAACCAATTTAATTAAACATTTGAAGGAAAAGGCTTTAAGTTTAGTACTATTTTCGTTCACGACAACAAATTCAATCAGAAGTGTGTGCTATAACAAGTTTAATGTAACATGGGTACACGTTTATTTATTTTCTTTAATTAATTATGTATCGTATGCAAAAGTTGTTTGCTATTGAGGATGTGCATGGAAATTAAATTAAATTAGGGCGAAGAAATTAAAAATAATAGTAATTTCGCAAATACATGACAAGTTTAAGATCCAATCAACTATACATTTCACGTTTTCTCACAGCGAATGAATTAAGGAGAATGAACAAGTAGATAACAAATTAAAGAAAACAATTCTTGTATGCATTGTTAACCATTACCCTTTACCGTCTCAGGATTGCCCGTCAAAAATGCACTTTTGAGTCCGAAGACCGAGATTCTCTGGAAGTGTGCCCAACGTGATTCTTGAACCAGTAATTGATTAGCAGAGATACAATGCGCAAGTTTCACAAATAATGCTTATGTTTCTTGATCTTAAACGATGCACTCTTGAACGTTGCCGGTTTAGCCGCCAAATCCATTCTCCATCTCAAAGACACCCTTATTCCTCCATTCTCAATTAATTTTCCCATTATGACCCCACGCCAACTCTCTCACTCTCAGCTAAATTCACCTACAATCCTCCTACGCTTATCCTTCTCCCTCTGCTTTGACAAACCAGAACATGAACCCTACGTCCGCGGCGATCCTATTCCTCTTCATAATTGCTTCGTCTCCGAATTCTCAAGCACAAGTGACATATCAGTTCGTGCCTCCTGACTTCAGCAGCGAAGGAGCATGGCAGTTCTTGCAAGCGAGCATTGGCATATCAGCCATGCACATGCAACTTCTAAGATACGACAAAGTCGTCATGTTTGACCGTACGGATTTTGGCCCCTCCAACATCTCCCTTCCCGACGGTCGTTGCCGGACGGATCCCTCAGACACTGCCCTCAACGTTGATTGCACCGCTCACTCTGTCCTTTACGACATACCCACCAACACCTTCCGACCCTTAATGGTTCAGACCGACACTTGGTGTTCCTCTGGCTCTGTTCTCCCTAACGGCACCCTCGTCCAGACCGGTGGATACAACGATGGTCAGCTTCGCATCCGCATGTTCACCTCTTGCCAAGACCAGACCTGTGACTGGATCGAATTCCCAGATTACTTCTCAAGGCGAAGATGGTACGCAACTAATCAGATACTACCTGATGGTCGCATCATTGTGGTTGGAGGAAGAAGACAATTCAACTACGAATTCTATCCTAGAAACCCCACCCAATATTCTTCCTCATCCACACAGGCTCTCTTTCTCCCTTTCCTCCAAGAGACAACTGATCCCAATGAAAATAACTTGTACCCTTTCTTGCACCTTTTACCCGACGGAAACCTTTTTATTTTCGCCAATACTCGTTCCATATTGTTTGACTACAGCCGAAACCTTGTCCTCAAAGAATTTCCTCTTATCCCAGGTGAGGATCCTCGAAACTATCCGAGCACGGGCTCTTCGGTTCTTCTCCCAATAAACGATAACAAACCAAGCGTAGAAGCTGAGGTCATGATTTGTGGGGGTGCGCCACGATCTTCATTCGTCAAAGCCCGAGAGGGGAACTTCATACAAGCTCTTGCCACATGCGGACGCCTCAGAGTCACTGACCCGAACCCAAATTGGGTGATGGAGACCATGCCAATGCCCAGAGTACTGGGAGACATGTTACTCCTCCCCTCCGGCGACGTCATTATCATCAACGGCGCAGGGCTCGGCACCGCCGGGTGGGAACATGGCCGAGGGGCGGTACTTTCTCCTGTCATATATAGGCCTTCAGAGGAGGACTCGTCGTTGAGGTTTAGGGCGATGTCAGCTGCGTCGAGGCCCAGAGTTTACCATTCCTCCGCAGTGTTGCTACCGGATGGAAGAGTGTTGGTTGGAGGTAGCAACCCTCACATGAACTACAGTTTCAGTGGGGTAGAGTTCCCAACGGAGCTCAGCTTGGAGGCGTTTTCACCCCCTTATTTGTCGCCGGAGTTTGATCCGATGCGGCCAACGATTTTGTACACGACGTGCAACGATGGCTTAGGGTATATGGTGCTGTGTCATATAACATTCCGGGTGACCTATTACATCTCAGCAAGTGAAGTTTCAGCGAGGCTGGTGGCTCCTTCGTTTACGACGCACTCTTTTGCGATGAATCAGAGAATGGTGGTGTTGAATCAGATTGTGGTGGCACGTACAGGATGGGACACGTATTACACAACAGTGGTGGGTCCATCGTCTCCTCAGATTGCACCACCGGGTTTCTATCTGATGTTCGTTGTGCATGCAGGTATACCTAGTACTGCTGTCTGGCTGCAAGTGCTCTAACACGAACTATCTCAGATTAATTTTCGGCTTGTTGCTCTTTGGTTAAGGGTTTGTTAGCAATTAGCATCTGGTAACACAAATAATTTTTTAGATGTCAAACCTTTCGTGCCGATTATATTATTATGAACTTTATTCGGCCATTTTTGCTTTCCGCAGACCTGGCCTTTTGAATTTCTCTTCCGGATAGACGTGGAGTCACTTAATCAATATTTTAAAATCCGGACAGGTCATTTAATTGGACAAAGCACATACTTAAGGGTTAAGGGGTTAATGGTTGAACAGTTGTTGAACATATATAGTTAATTTAATATATATTTTTATTTTAGATGTTGGAATTGAGAAAAAAATATAATCATTAATCTTTATAATTTTTGCAAGCTCTGTTTTAATTCTTATAATTTTTTTTTATATTTTTAGTCCCTGTAGTGTTTATAATTTAACATCGTTAGAGATGGAGAAACAAATGTCCCCAATTTTATTAAAATTATAGGGATTGAAGGTGAAAAAAATTATAAAAATTAAAAGTAAAATTTGATGAAACTATAAAACCAATGATCATATTAAAAATAAAATTTTACAAAATATTATTAGGTTCATGAAAAAATAAAAAAAAGTAAAAGAGTGAGAGAATAGTTTTCTCTTTAACTTGGCAAAGAAACTTATTAAGTGTTAAAAATTACTCAACTTATTTAATTTTTAGAGAACGAAGCACGAGAAATTCTTAGAAGATTAGACTTGGTAAAACTTATAAATACTAAAATAAAATCATATATTTTGAAATAAAAAATATAGATAAATAATTTTATATGAAAATATTAAATATATAATTTTACATTATAAAAATGATGCAAGATTTAAGCAGACAAATTTAATAAATTTGAAGGAAAAATAAGGAGGGGAAAAAAAAAGCACCAGACACTCGTATAAGAGGAGTCAGGAGCAGCCATGTGAGGGGGCCTCTAACCCTAACCATGATGAAAAGAGGAATGAGGAGCATGAGCTAAAAACCCCCACATCGAGAATACGAAAGGATTGGGATGCCACAACTTTGCTATAAAAATGTGTGAGGGGGGCGGAGAGCTTTGACTGTGGAAGGTTGAGTTGCTCTCAGTGAAAAATAACAACTTCTGGCCCAAAAGATTTAATATTTTAATTTAATATTGATTTTTTTTTTGGGGAAATTTGAAGTTTTTAAAATTCTGTCCGGTTTTTTAAATCATAACTGGCTTAGTTTTATCGGTTTAATTGGTTGTTGGTTGGTTTTTATGACTAGCTATAACTTGACTGGTTTTTTGGAGTATACTAGGTGGGGTTAGAGGTTGATTCCTGATATTAGGAGTGTGAACGTCTCAATATTTTATAGATGCATATATATTCTTTATTTTAAATTATATATTAAATATATTAATATAATTTATATTTATATTAATTATAATTTCAATATATATTGTTCTTGTTAAAATTAAAAGTTTTTTATATTAATAATTTAATCACATACTTTAAGCAATCTAGAGAATATCTTTCTTTACAATAATTTAATTTATTTTATATTTACCAGTTTAATAACTTATGTTTGCATCATATTTCTTATTTTATTTTTGAAAAAAATACTAGCTTAATATATTTCAATCAAAGAAGAAAAATAATGACCTGATGTGTGTGTCAGGCTTGTTTGTTTGTTATTATTGCTCTTATAGCTTATAGATCAGTTGTAATTATTATCATAATGTGTTATATCTCATATATACTTGATTGTAAGTTGTATATTTATAATTATGATTGATGTAATTCAATAATTATCATAATTTATATGTTCATGTTGTTTTGTTTTTAAACTTGATAAGTTATGTGATCTAAAATTTTAACTAATGAATATTATTATCCTAGCCTTCTCTCACATTGTCCACTTTATTAAGAAGGCAGTACGTATTGTTTTTATCTCAATTTTTAACAAAATAAAATGACTTTTAAAAGATGACGAAACATGAGATAAAAATTTAATCTCAATAACTTATGGAATGGGATGTGAGATAAAGGTATCCCGCTCTGATAGATGCTTCTACCTAGTCTAATGAATCGAACGGGTTTAATACAATAAGAACTCAGCTTCATGCTTGCCCAATGCGAGTGAAAATTCAGTTTGGATAATCCCAAGATGAGAGCGAGTTGAGTTGGCGGTAAAGTAAAAATATGTTGTTTATTGTTTTTCGTTGTAGAAACGTTGCAGACTTCATATCTGAGACTATGTAAGTAAATTCTAAAACAGTAAAGTGTGACTACCACCCTGGGGCGGACACGAAAGAACTTTTCATTTTTACTACCTGAAAAATCGTACTTGAAATAGATGGGACTGATGGTGGAGTGGAAAAGGGCGCAGAAAAGAAACCAGATTCACAAAACTGCTTCATTCCCCTCCTGGCTCTGTAGGCACGTCACGCATGGTCAGGTTACACACACACACACGTGTATATATTTTATCGAGGCCAAAGTAATACAGAGAAGTGGTAACTGTCTACAAAAAAAAAAACAAAAAACTGAGATGCATTGGATTCCGTATTTAAATTTCACCTGTGTATTAGTGTCTAACCATGTCTTAAGTGGTATTATCACAAACCAAAAGAATATCTGTAAAGTACTGAAAAAAATTACTTTTGCGTTCTTCTTCTCACATTTTTATTCCCTAAATTTTTTTCAGGGAGTAATTTTATTCTGTATTGATAAATGGGATGACTTTATTTTT